GTAAAATTTAGTAAAAGATTTAATTAGCAATTCAATGTAGAAAACAAAAAATATTTATTTTGCTTTATATTATATTTATTTTTTTAGTAGGAAATGGGCTGGAGTGATAGCACAGTGTGTGGGGCATTTGCCTTGTACGCGGCCAATCCGGGTTCGATTTTTCGTCCCTCATGAGAGCTTGGCAAGCTTCTGAGAGTATTCTGTCCGTGTGGCAAAGGCCTGGCAAGCTACCCATGACATATTCGATATGCCAAAAAGAGTAGCAAGTCTCTACAATGGAGATGTTACTGGTTCCCGCTTGAGCAAATCTATGAACAATGTGAGGACAGTGCTACAGTGCTACCATAGGAAATATTTATGACAAAAAATACAATAATTTGGAAAAACAAAATAGTAGGATTAAGAAAACAAAAAACTTTTTTCTTAAAAATACTAACTAACCAACCACTTCCATTAATTTTAAAGAGTACATAAATTTAATACTAGATTATAGAAATTGAATTTAGCCATCCATCCAGAAATTAAGGCAGAGTGGTAAGCATAAGGATGTTTGTTATTTTAGGCTCTTACCATCTTCATGTTGAAAATATTTTACAGTTAGAAAAGTTATCAAGTTATAAAAAATTAGCCCTTAGTCCAAGTTTTTGCCTATTGCCTGTCTCCTCGAACATACTCATAAGTGATCCCAACTCTCTTCTATTATTGTCTGTCTAATTCCAGATTTACGGCAGAGCCTGGCAAGCCACCCGTGGAGTATTCGATATGCCAAAAATAGTAACAATAACAGGTCTCATTCCCCTGACCCTAAAGAGCCTCCAATACAGCAGCATTGGGAAAGATGAGTAAGGAGAGGCTGCAAAAATCTCAGGGCTGGGATGAATGGAGACGTTACTGGTGCCCGCTTGAGTAAATCGGTGAACAATGGAATGACAGTGATACAATGAATTCCAAATTCTCTTAATTCCCTAATTTTTTATATGCCTGGTAAAAATCTGAAATCTTGGCAATTGAAGCTGTGATAAAGTATTAAATGAATCGGATAAGTACTGTGCGTTTGGGGAGAACAATATTAACAAAAGATAGAGAGAACAAAGACTCCTGCCCAGGCATGTTATATAAAAAGGGGGAGGCAGGGATACAAATTGGGGGAACGTAAGTAGTAACAGGACCAAGGGCACATTCCATGAAAGACATAGGCTCTCTTGAGATCACTTTTCCTAGCTGTTTCAAGATTGTTTGTTTGCCTTTTCTGCTCTGGTTGATGTTCTGTCCCTCCTTTTGATGTTTTACAATATGTACATAAAAGCAAGCTCATACTTGTAAGGTAACAATGGGCTTGTCCTTTCAGCCTTGCCACAGGGAACTTAGTTTACCTTAAAGCAATGTCCTTTCTGTATGGACACAGGAAGACAGTTAATATTATGCTATGTAACTTGGGAGTTGATTGACACCAACAATATTTACTCCTGGGCATCTACTGTCTTGACTCAGTTGCCCTTAGTTCCTAGTACCCCAAAAGCAGGGTCCCGACGAGGAACTGAATGGACCCAGGGAAAGCTGTGAGCTACCCTGACATCGAAATGGGCCAGGCCAAAACGCCACAATACTCAACTGTAAGTTGAGAGCATGATCTTAGACATGCTGTCACTATCCAAATGTAACGACAAGACTAGGACGCTGCTGGGGTTAGGAAGACTAAGCTGGCCTGAGGACTGTGGTAAGACATCCTCAGGAAGAACTAAACTTTAAGTTGATATATCTCTTACTGTGCTCATACAGAATGACATTGCTAGAAATATTAGAAGTAGATTTATTGCAACTATTTAAGTGGATTACTAACTGAGGAAAGAAGAAAGCTACACACCCTGAATGGGTCCTGCCCTTAACGGATCTCTTAGTAATCCAGAGTAATCTCTTTAGATGAGATTTTATCCTTGAGTTAATCTCCTGGAGGAGTGGTCTTACCTCTCTTTATTGATTTGTTAATGTTCAACCCATCTTTGTATCACCACCCTATGTGATTGCTATATAAACTAAGACTGTAAGAGTGGAGGGGGGCAGAGTCAGATCTAGAGCGAAGGGCTCCAGAGAGAGAAGCTGACGGGCTCCAGAGAGGGAGATCTGGAAGAGACCAGAGGAGAGACTATAGAGATAGAGTCAGAAATAGAGAGACAGATAGAAGAGAGCACAGTGGCATGCACAGAAGCAAAGCACAAAGGAGGAGCCATCCTGATCCGGTCCATACACAGTGGCTCGAGAGCACCGAATGTGGGCAGAGAGAGAGATGCCCCAAGAGCCTGCCAACAACACATCATCATCTTCGCATCCCTCCCCTGAGCGCCTAAGATGTTTCTTACACACACTCTCTGGCTTCATCTGAGACAGGCATACTTTTATGAAACCTGGATATGAAAATATGCAAATAAAGGGTAGGCAAGCCCTGGGTCTGCAGTGCAGAGACTCGACTTCCCTTTGGTTAGCATTTTCACTCCTGCTCTGAGAAATGAAAAATCATATTTTTTTTGTCTTTAAAAGAAATGGGGACTCAGTGGATAGTTTTTATCATTCAATTAAAAATGACCGAACTTCCTCTCACAAGGTTCCTTTGATTTGAATAGTATTCTAGTCAATTTATTCAAACTATTTTTTTCAAATTTTAAATTCTCTAAAATTTATATTGGGAGGGAAATTATGACATCAGATTTTTTCTTTAATATTTTCCTTCCTCATAAAATAAATGACCTAATTTTATGGCCTAGATTATTGTCCCTCTTTTTTTTCATTTAAAGAGCCTTTGTTTCATTATTTTAGCAGCGAGCTTGTATAGTTCATTATACAGGCAAGTTTCCAAAGAGCTAGTATTTTATGGACATTTGTAGGTTATTAGTTTTTTCCTCACATGGAAAGAGTAATATCTTAAAATTGGTAGAGTAACATCTTAAAAATAACCAGGTACATACAGAAAAGAAGGTACTGTTTTCATGAAACACAGACAACACTTCTGGTACCCTAAAACTGTGTATGCATTACTCTCTGGTGACTCAGTGGCAGACCAGAATGCATGAGTATCTGTTTTGATCACCTCCAACTGGACTTAGTATGAAGTGAAGACTTGGTGAGGTTCCCAAGTACATTGCTATCTCTTTAACTCTCTTGTTTGTAGTAGTCTGTTTTCTCACAGTGAAATGATCTGGTGTTTTGTATTCTCTGTGTTTATACCATTTATCTATAGTAGTTTCTTTCTGAAATAATTGAGTTCAATTTAAGCTTGTAACAACCAAAGGTCTTACCATGACTTAAACTTTAAATAGATACCAGCGAAGATTCCTTTTGTGGGAGTTTTACCTAGAGACTCACAAAAGAATCCTTTAAGGTAGTCAGCTCAGGTCGTATTTTCACTTTTCTGCAAATGAAGACACTGACATTGAGAGGCTCCAGACTAGCCCAGGTTGCAGTTAGATGGGGAGGTTTACCTGAGTAGGATCCCTTGGGTGATGATGCTCCTTTTTGGTGATTCTAAATATAGCTTCTCTACTTACAGTGCAAATACATGTTTGCAAATGGTTATCACATACATAAACATTGCTGTAAGAGTCAGTTATGTGCCTAAGAAGAGGTAGCAATTGTAATTGTAATGATTGTGCTTATTTTCTTTTTGGTTTCAGTATTATGTTTAAGCGAGAAAGATGTAATTTCCTTGTCTCTTTCTACAGTATTTACTAACATTTATCATATCTGTCACAGTTCTTATGGTACTGAATTTGATAAAGAGCAGAATAATTAAAAAAAAATACCAGGGCCAAAATCTTCTCAGAATCTGAGTGATGGAGATGAGTGTTGTGTTCATTTTGTTAGCTAGATAATTATCCAACGTTCATTTTGTTTTGTGCTTATATAGGCAGCCACTAAACCATTTTGCTAAATATTTAGGCATGTTTCCCCTGGAGGACTTAGAAGATTGGATCCCAGGATGCCCTCTGATTTGGCTTCAAGCTAAAGACTAGCTTTTCTCCCTTGCAGAGCAAAAGTGGGTGTAGCTCCTTCAGCTTTGATGTGCCCATCAAATCGACAGTAAGGCCAGAATTTCCTGCCTCATTTTTCAAAAACTGTGATTTGGTATAGCCTCCTTCTTTAAATGCTCCCATAGCTTCTTCTATAGTAGTTCTCTGGCATAAGGCCAGTCTGATTTGTAGTTGAATGTGCTTATGCTTATTATGGGAGACAAGTTCTTATCTACCTACCTACCTATCTACCTAACTGTATCTTAAACTTTTTTCATTTGTCAGTTTTACCTACCTCCTCTGTCTGTGAAATGGACATAATACTATGTGGCAGTCGATGAGAAGAATTATTTTGAAAGATTTAGAATTTAGAGATGTGGGCTTGGAGCAAGAGTACTGCAGGTGCTCACTTACCTTGCCTGTGGCCAACCCAGGTTTGATCCCCGACACCACATATAGTTTCAGGAGTGATCCCTGAACACAGAGACAAGTAAACCCTGGGCACCGACTTGGATGTGGTCCCCAAGTAAACAGTAGCAACAACAAAGATTTCAGAAGTGATTTCTTGTCTCATTTGATAGAAGTCATTGAAATCCTTGAATCTGACCTGCCAACACTAAGCTTCCCATGTGCTTGATTATAAAATTTTCACATGAAAAAGGTAAATATTTTCTCTTCCAATTGTTGTTGTTTTTGTCCCCAAGGGGATTTTTTCAAAGCTAATTTATCTGCAGAGAGACATATGCTTTAGGTCTATACTTGCTAATTTACCTTGGAAAAATTAGGTCATCTTCAAATCTGGCAGTACAGCATATATACTTGGCAAATGGTCTAATTAAAAGCTTCCCTTAGATTAAAAAAAAAGAAGACGAAGAAATGATTAGTGTCTGTGATGGTTTCACTTTCAGGGTTTGTGTGTATGTAGGTAAATGTCACTCCTTGTATTACATTAAAAGTATGTTGACTATCTGCTAACAGTTCATCTCTTTTCTTCTGCAGCCTCCAAGTCTGTTATAAATAGTATGCTACGGGACCCTTCTCAGATTCCAGATGGAGTTCTCGCAAATCAGGTCTATCAGGTATTAATCACAGCTGTCTATTTTCAGTGGCAATGCTGTTATCTGCCTCGCAGAGTAAAGGATTTTAAACCTCATTTAATTACTGTCATCATAAACTATCACTGAGGTCAGGGTGCACCATAAATGGCAGTGCAATATTTGCGAGAAGAGCATTTCACTTTTTAATCGCTTGCTTATGGTGAATTAAAAGCATGCAGTTTTTGTCTTTTCATGATTTAATCTGAAGCGCTTTGGAAAGCTTTTTACTTTTTTTTAACCATAATAATTACTACTCTTAGATATTTGTGAATAGTGGTTTCTATAGTTGCCCCACCCAGCCCCCATCTCTTGTTTGCAGTGCATTGTGAACGACTGCTGTTATGGCCCGCTGGTGGACTGCATCAAACAGTATCCTTTCCCATAAAATTTTAGGTGCACAATTGACGAGCTTAGGCTCGCTAGAGGAGATGTGTCCAACTTTAACCTGACATAAAGTTCTGCTTCACAAAACACATTTCATACTCTTCTACTTTATATTCAATCAAGCGGAGGGTCACTGCAGACCATTTTTCTCTACAGTTTAAAAAAAAATCAGATAGACCATGGGATGATGTCAATTCAGCAATTGTACATTCTTTCAATTTTCTTGGTTTTCAATGAGCTTAAAAGTACAGAATCATTAGGCAGGGAGCATACTGTCTTGTATCTAGCCACTGCAATGAGATTACAATATGTGTGTGTATTCATATATAACATATAAATATGTAAAATATATATTATAAAATGTATATATCACAAAACACTATTTAAAATGAGCCAAATTTACTTGTGTTTTCTAGAATAAATTTTGAACCCAGTGTTCAAGGATAGTGTGATTAAAATGCCACCAGAGACTATCATATTTTAAAGGGCAGTAGATACTTTGTGTTTAAATGCTGATTACAACATGAAGTGACGTTTGGATCCCTATAAACATTTTTAGAGCAACTTCACTGGCGTTTCCCTCTGGACCGAATTTAAGGTGATGAAAATAGATGCCCATTCATCCTTCATTAAAGACACTGAAATTAGTATAGTTAAAGCTTGCTTCTGAAAAAAATGTGATTGTACACTAACTTCTTCATAAAGTAAAGGCCCTCCCGTTGATCATCGATTTGCTCGAGCGGGCCCAGTAACGTCTCCATTGGAGACTTTGTTGTTACTGTGTCTGGCATATCGAATACGTCACGGGGAGCTTGCCAGGCTCTGCCGTGCGGGCAAGATACTCTCGGTAGCTTGCCGGGCTCTCCGAGAGGGGCGGAATAATCGAACTCGGGTCGGCCATGTTGGCTGCGTGCAAGGCAAACGCCCTACCGCTGTGCTAAAGCTTTATTAACTAATACTTTTAGTAGTGCTCTGACAGCATGAAATTTTTTAGTGTTTGCCTAAAATGCTATAAATGCTATTTTAAAAGTAAATAATTAGTAACTGTTTTGTTTGTTTTGTTTGGGGGTTAGCCACCCCTGGTGGTGCTTAGGGGCTCTTCCTGGCTTTGTGCTCAAGAGTCATCACCAGCAGTGCTCAGCAGACCATATATGGTGCAGGGGATTCGAACTAGGGTCAGTTGCACACAAGGCAGGCACATTACCTTATGTTCTCTCTCTCTCTCTCTCTCTCTCTCTCTCTCTGTCTCTCTCTCTCTCTAATGAAAATTTGATCCATTCAAGTCACATTCTCCTTAGTAGAACATGGCATTTCCAGTTTAGATTTCGTTAGCATAGGGCTCACAAGTTGTGATTTACTGAATATCATTTGAAAAGCTTTCTAGCAGAACCCCTCATCAGTCGGGAGCACACGTACTCCATGTCATTTCATAAATTCAGGGGCGCAAGCGCAATCTCAACAGAAGACCCAGGGTTGATTTCCTGCACTGCGAATGCTTTTCCCAGCACCATTCGTAGCGACCTCAAGCAATAATCAGGGGGGTGACCCCCAAATACCACAGATCCCACTTGTGTAGCCCTGCAGCAAATAAGCAAACCAAAAATAGAACTAAACTGAACAGAACATTTAAAAATTCATTTTCAGGGCCAGAGCCAGAAAGATAACATAATGGGTGGGGTGCTAGCTTTGCCTGAGTTTGATTCTTGGCATCATGGAGAGCACCAAGCTGGGATTCACCCCAGAGTACTGCTGTGTGGGCCTCACTGCAAAAAGCTGGGGGAGAGGAGAGGGCATGTGGGGGAGAGAAAAGAAACAAGCTCATTGTAAAACAGTGCCTTAATAGAAATCTAATATTATAGCTATATTCTTCAAGCCCCTTACTTCAAACTAGCTTAAATTCTTAAAATTGCAGCACTGTCCTGCCTTTTTAAATTAAGCCAGTGTAAAATAAAAATTTGGGGTGCAAAATTAATAATAGTGTTAGAAAGTATTGGAGTGCCAACCTCATGTCACCTCAGTGATAAAGTTTAGCACATTCAATAACAACTAACACGATCTCAGAACATCTGGGGTAGAATTGCATGTTAATTTTGAAGCACATAAAATAGTTAAAAATCAATTTAAAATTAAGGTTTTAAAAGCATAATAATGCCTTTTGAAGGATTGCATATTGATTTTAAATATAACTATCTAATTATATATGCATGGACTAAAGTATGAAGTCAACTGCTTTGTAAATGCCAAGAGGCTATTTTTCAGTAATAGTTGAGATGCTTACGGGAAACTAGATTGCTGTATTGCTGGCAAAGAAAATGGCTTGTGAGGTTATTTACAAGTTTTGCCCCATGGTCACTACCATACATCAATAGTAGGTATTATTATAGACAAAGTCTAAGTGTTTCTGCTTAGAGAGCATTATAAATTCTTTTTAGAATATTTTCCTTACATTTTTACCATCATTCACTTCCCTTTTTTGGACCAAGTTATTGCCAGTAGAATTTAATGTAGCACATGGTTTCAATTGATAACGATAACTATGAGTATCTATAAATTGTATTCACTCACTAGATTATAATTATGCACTTGTATTATGACTGTTGCCAGTAAAAGTTAATGCTTTTCTGAATTATAATTTCTAGATCTTACATTATAAATATGATTTAACTTAGACAAAGTACAATCAAGATGTATATCTTCCCCAAATTTTAAATTGGTGATGGCTTTTACCATGAAAAATAAAAAGATTGGAAAGTTTACAGAGAACCAGTTTTTATCTTTGCATTGAGATAGTAGCAGTTTCATGTAATGTTAATATATTGGTGTCAATATTTGCAAAACTGAACAACCGGAATTTTTTTTTCCTACTTAAAAAATATCTAGTGGAGGGATGGGTACTCGATCATTGAATAACTGAAACCCAAGCACAAAAATCTGTACGTCTCCAACTGTACCTCATGGTGTTTCACTAATACAAATTAAATATATATATATATATCATATTCATGGCACCCCCCAAAAAAATCTTACTCATTTTCCATGTGAGTGAAATGCTATATTTATGTCATTCTGAAAGTTTATTAATGTGAACCTTACCTCATGCTTAGTAAATTGCATCATTTTATAAGAAAAAAAGTAAATTGCATCATTTTATTTAGTAAATAGGTGCAAACCATTTTTTTGGGTTCCACTAAGCATATTACATGTAGCCATTTTTTTAAAGTAAAATAATTGGTATTTAATAATAATAAGATACTGCCAAAAGCACAGATATTGCAGTTGTCATTATGTTTTTTTTTTTCTTTTGCTCTCCATTCTTTCCCATATACTCATGCTCATCCACACCTTTCCGACACGGGTCATATGCACTGACATAAAAGGTGTGAGAAACCTGCCACTTCAACCTTCCAAAGTGTGACATCAGGACACAGCTGTTAGACAAAGGCCTAAAAAGAGTAACAAGGAAAGATAATGATTCAGGAAGCTTAAAATGCTGTGGCTTTCATTTCTGTACCATCAGTAACCTCAATTTCATGATTCAACATTTTAGATGTAAATAATTTACAACAATAAAAGTGAGAGCACATTTATGAGGAATAGAAGTAAATAATTTAGTCCTAAAACGCGGGATGCCCCTAGTAATGAGAGACCGTTGAGAGATATTCATCAAATGTCTTCAATGGACTCTGCAAAATATGTACCCTTTTGTGATTTTAAAATTTGTTTTCTTTATTTTTGTTTCTGATAAGAAATTAAATAAGCAGTAGCTGTGAGCATCATAGTGGGAATGTGAGGTTGGGGGAGTCACAGAAGGAAAAAATAACGCTGATGACATAGAACTGGTTTTGAGAGCTAACATTAAGTGGCCACACTTCTGGAATTCTAGGTTTTAACAAAATTTGCCTTCCACCTATGTGTGTTAATAAAGGTCAGGGTAATTTTTTTAATTTGCTTTTTTTGGGGAGGGTCACACCCGGTGATGCTCAGGGGTTACTCCTGACTCTGCACTCAGGAATCACTCCTGGTGGTGCTCGGGGGACCATATGGGATGCTGGGACTCAAACCTGGGTCGGCCATGTGCAAGGCAAATGCCCTACCCGCTGTGCTATTGCTCCAGCTTGTCCCAGGTCAGGGTAATGTTTTAAGGAATTTTCCCCCCAATAATGTCTTATTTTATTCAAATTGAACGTCAATAGTACATGATCAGAATTGAAGAATTTCTTTGGGTTAGCCAGGGAGTGAAGTGACATTATCTGTGAAATGGAGAATGACGAGAGTGATTTGGCTAATTATTAACCAAATTCTTTTGACATAAAGTTCCAGAAGAAGGTAATGTTCCATTTTAGACTTTGTGCAGTATCTGTGAAAAGTAGACCAGATTCCAAGTCCTGTCCACTCTTCACTTGCTGTGAGATCTCAGCAGATTTTTTTCATATTCCTATGCTTTTTCTTTGCCACTAAAGTGGTAAGTTACAATAGATTATTTGTTTAGTTGTTAATTGTATAATGAACTAATATAATACTGCAAATCCTATAGCACAAGTTTAATACCTGTTACATAAAAAAAATCGATTTGCTCGAGTGGGCCCAGTAATGTCTCCATTGGAGACTTTGTTGTTACTGTGTTTGGCATATCGAATACGTCACGGGGAGCTTGCCAGGCTCTGCCGTGCGGGCGAGATACTCTCGGTAGCTTGCCGGGCTCTCCGAGAGGGGCGGAGGAATCGAACTCGGGTCAGCCATGTTGCCTGCGTGCAAGGCAAACGCCCTACCGTTACTGGGCCCGCTCGAGCAAATCGACGATCAACGGGAGGGCCTTTACCTTTACCTTTTACATAAAAAATATTGGCTAGGGGCTAGAGAGATAGAACAGGGGGTTGCTCACTTGCCTTGAATTCAGTTGACCCAGGTTTGATTCCTGGCACCGCATACCATTCCCTAAGCACTCCCAGGAGTCATTCCTGACTGCTGAACCAGGGTTAGCCTCTGAGCACCTCAGTTGTGCCTCCTCCCCAAGAAATATTGACTACTGTTGCTCATTATTGTATGATTGATTTTAGTACTTTTGAACAAGCCATATGAATGTCATAGCTTAGGCTTTACAGAGATCATTTCTTCTTAGAGGAGAAGGATGAGGTGAGTTGAAACTTGGCCGCACCCAGCCGTGCTACAGAATGCTCCCAGCAGTACCTGAGGAATCTTGCAGTGCCACTAATCGAACCGGAGTCACCCCCTGCAAAGCTAGCACTGTTGCATTATCTCCCTAACCCTTTGCAGAGATCTTGTTCAGATTTTCTTCTTTCCCACTCACTGGTTGTAGGACCTTGCACAGACTCCTTTCTACATTCACTTTCCTCATCTATAAAATAAACGTGATAATATGTAAAGATAAAATAATGTACATCAAGCACTTAACACAATAGTTGCTCATAGTATAAGCACTCAAAAAATTTTATGGGCACATGTATACCTGTTGATATGTATATTAAATGTGCACATATACATAAGGAATTTGAGACAGCTTTTGTGTCCACATCCCAATCCCCAGTCCCTTCTTTACTGCAACATCTGTCATCCAGATTATATATAATTTTCAACAAATTACAGGAGATTACTCACAGCAGACTGGAAGTGAAACAGAACTCGCTACAGCAGACTCTCTGACAAGTGTTAATTCACAGAAAATTTATGGAACTCTATGGGCCTGGGAATTCTTGTAAGCCTAGTGCTGGTTGCTATTCTTTGCTGCACTTAGGAAGTGCTTAATAAATGTATGCTAAGTCGAATTGAGAGGTTTTTAACATAGCATAAAGGATGTTTAAAATTACATGACTCTCCCACTTTTCAAAAGAAGATAAAAAAACACATTCATTTACAAATCTTTACCTAAGCTATATGTAAACATTAGAAACTACTCTTGAGTCATTTAAATGAGATGTGTATGGAAAGCTCATTCCTCAGAGAAGCGAGCAGAAGGTAGAAGTAGTTGCTATATAATTACATTTATTTCCCATTTCCTCTCAAAATATAGACCTGGTACTGGCATTTTTTCTGATAATATAATTCTACCTATGTTACCCTACTTAACTAAAACTTCCCAGCGCCATTGGTCATGAGCACGAAGTCCTGCTGCGAGGCTTACTTCTCGAGAAAAATCTCTCCTTTCTGGGTAAGTATTGCTTACATCCTCTCTAGCTTATCATATCTCCATGAGTGCTTAAATATATATTTTTAAAATCTTCCACTTGCAGTTATTATGTACTGAAGGAAGAGTGAATGATGATTGATGCTGTGCATGTTATCTTGTATTGATTTAGAACTGAGCAGGAACTCAGTTACCTAATCGCCTCTATAGGCAGCACATGCATGGGCTGGCAATTAATATTTTATAGAATAAGTGGCTGAAAAAATGCTTTAATATCTGTTGCAGTATTACTTTTGGTGTCACGAGACATTAACTATAATCTAGGCTTTATGAGAGAAGAAAACAAAAGAAATATTGTCTGTAAAATACTTTATATATTAAAAAGATTGGTTACCAAAAAGCTCACAGTTAGGTAGGTTTGTCTCATATCCAGAATCAGGCACTTGCGAGCCAAATATTACACTTAAATTATTTTTATGCCAACATTGTTTTCATGGATTTAATATGATTTTTAAAGTCCCACATATAGACGTGTTTGTCAGCCAATATGGAATCTTATCGTAGATTGTTATTACTTTCAACATCTCTTAAGCATTAGAAATTAAGCCTCAAAAAGCATACATGTGATAACTTATCTTGGAAATCATAAAACACTCTAATGAATTAACTCTCCTCCCCCATTTTAAATGTGACAGTTTGTTTGTAAAGGTAATTTGTTCTTTCTATACAAATTATATTATTGTACATCTGGTTTTTGTAGATATTTAAGAATCTGCATAATTTTTTAAGGTTAATAACAAGTCCTCAATATTGTTTAACAGGACTTTTGTTCCAGAAAACAAAGAATTGGCCAGGGAAGTAAAAAAAATGGTATTATCTCAAGCTGTGGAGGGATATTGAATACAGTTTTGAATATAGTCTTTAAGGCTAAATATTCAAAATTTTTGTGAATGAACTATAGAATGTATCTGAATGTGTCTTATGAGTTAGTGTTGATAATTTGAACATAGAGATATCATAAATATCTTTAGCTAAGGTTGAAGAAAATTAATAAATTACAAATTATCATAAATTGCTGAATTAAGTTTCAATAGTAGAAACAGCAATTTTTTTAATAAGCACAACTTAAATGTTCAGCTTATGGGGAAAAAGTAAATAGGACTCACCTATCTAGAGACTAATAAAAATACAATTTATATTAGCTGAGAAACTGTTATTATGAATAATCCATAATACACATAGATGTTTCAGAAACTCTGAACTATAGGTTTCTGGTAGTATTATCCATCTGATCACATTGATCTCTCAGATAGTGGCAAGTATGGTGTGACCACATCTGTTTTATTGTTTTATGCCACCAACACAGCAGTCATATTCTCAGAACTGCTTGTGGTTACCATATTTTCACTATCTACTAACAGGTAAGGAAGCTCTTGACCCATTTCTTTGTTTTGCCAACTTCTCTGATTCCTTTCCTGAGAACCAGAAGACCTCCCAAAAGAGCAAAGTGTTTACACATGTCCTGTACTTAACTTCAGATCCTTGACTTATGTTGATGGACCCATCTCTTCCATAGTGCTGTGAGATCTGGCAGTGTAATTGTTCTATTGAAATAAACTGAAAGATTATATGTAACTAATGTCTAAAAGTAAATGTTAATGGGATGTTGCCTGATTTCATGTCACCTGAGTGTTGTTTTGAATGAAGCATTTCCTTATCAATCCAGCAGCATACAAAGAAGTTGTTCATTTATTCCATGCATTTTAAGCTTTTTAATGTACTGAATTGTGCATGTTTCTTTATGACCAAAACATAAAAATTCAAAACCTTGTATGAAATATTGTTATGGGATTTTCTTTTACCATATAAGTACCCCTCCACAATAATTTATTAGGTAGACCTAAGATACTGTGTCAAATAAATTTAAATAGATCATCATTTTAAACCCTACTGTGGAAAAATATTTGTATATAAAAAGGCAGCTAATCTGATCTTCTTCCTTACATTTGTTGTAAGGATATTGCAGATGTTCTTGTTTTACCTTAATTCTTTACAAGTATAAATATTTCTGTCTCCGTCATCCCTTTCCTGATCAGTTCCCTCCCCCTTTATAATATGAACTATATTTAAAAGAGAAGGATGTTTGATATTTAGGTAGTAACTCTTCTTAAGGTCTATGTCTACCCTATGGAGATGGAGAGATAATACAGTGGGTAAGGCACTTGCCTTGCATGCAGCTGACATGGGTTTGATTCCTCAGGACTACATATAGTTTACCCCAAGCACTGCCAGGAGTGATCTCTGAGTATAGAACTTACTTGGGACTAAGCCTTGAGCACTACTGGATGTGCCCCCCATCCAAAAAATAATAATAAAAAGTGAAAAACAAAGGGACCTGGGGCAATGGTACAATAGGTTGGGCTTTCCCTTGTAGAGTGCTGATTCAGGTTGCTTCCACAGTACCCCATATGGTCCCCTGAGCCCCCACCAGTATAAGGATGGAAGGATGAAGAAAAATAGGGAGGGACGGAAGGAGGGAGGGAGGGAGGGAGGGAAGGAGGGCAGCGGAGGGGAGGGGAAGGGAGGGGAGGGAAAGGAGGCAGGCAGGCAGGCAGGCTCATGTTAAGTACATGTCAATTCTTTCTAAGGGTAACTCATGTAAATTTTATTGGTCACCATTTAGTCTCAAATGTGAAGAGTTTACTATTCACTCCTTAGATGTACAAAGAACTTTTCTTGAACATTTAATGGCCAACTGTAAATTGACCCAGAAGGCAGTATGATTTTCTTATCTCTTCTGCTAGGGTTAATTTCATTTTTTTTAATTTCATTTTTAATGTCATCAAAATAGAATTTTGTCACTGCTAAATATATTTTAATTCTTATCTCAAGTGATGAATAATACATTTTTTGTTGTATCTTTTTTGTCTCTCTTTTGAATGTGGAGTAGAGAATAGCTTTGAGCAGAATATCAGAGGGTAGGGAAGGAAAATAGTAAGTGGATAACAAGATGGCTTATACTGTTATAGGGAAATATGCAAGTGATTATAGAAAAATTTGAAAATAAGCTATTTATCCTCCTTAAGTTGACATATCTCCAGGTCAGAGAGGCTTTTTATTAGAGATTTCCATGGCCATGTCTGGTGCAAGTTCTGCTAAGTTTGGCTTAATCGAGAATGCTCTGCAGATATTTTATTCTTTCAAGTGAATATTGTTCTCTCAAAGAAGCTAGCAGTTATTTTGAGTCATATCTGACAGGCATTGGTTTTATCTCTGACTTGCCCTTTCTTGTTTTGTCTTGCCTTATAACAAATCAACCCATTTTACCAGAGTGCTCTTCAGGTATTATTACTGCATGGGATTCCAGGAGGGTGTAATCTGTAAAGCCAAATAGGATTAGTGAAGGATGTTCCTTGCTGTAAGAAATCAGAATCTTTGTTTCTAAGAGCTCATATACTCCCACTGCTTTATTCCCTTCCTCAAGCGACAGTGCTCTGCTGGGTAAGTGATTATGATTTAGCAAACGGGATTATGACTGAAGGTGAAGAATAATCAGCAGGAACAGATGAAATTTAGAATTCTTAGATTGTGTTTGCATGCAGATGATAGCAGTAGAGAGTGAAAGACTAGAAATAGAACATGATTATATAGGCTGAAGGGAAGTGAGATGACTGTATTTTATAAGATATCAACTATTTAAGTTCTCATTTATTTGAATGTTAAATAAAATGCAGTTTTTAGAGTAACAACAACATGATACAGCGAGTGGGGGTTGGGGAATGTTGGTTCTCCTTGAAGAAATTGTCTTCTGGTTATTCTAGAATTCTCTTGACTTAAGTGACAGATGCACATGCCACGTGTGCACGTACACTCACACAAACACACACACACACACACACACACACATACACACTCACACAGAGTAATGGGGGGCTTTGACAGAGGAGAGAAAAGAGGAGAACATCTACAGCTTTAGTGGTATATGTGGGAAATCCAATAAGATATTTGCTTCTGATATGTCTAGAATCCAGAAGACAAAAATATTATCATGAATATCTCTTACCCCTCTTAAATTGTTTTTTTTTGTTTGTATGTTTTTCTTTTTTTTTTAAATATCTTTGTTTACAGACAACAAAGATGATCCTTTGGAAGTTTGCTTCTTTGCTTACTTTTTAGAGTTTGAAGTCCTAGAGAAGAGTTTGTGAAAGTTGGTGATTATTTTTTGCCTCATAGCAGATCCTAGAAAGAGATTTTGATCAGCCTGTCTGGGTAACTGTCCGCTTCTGTGGCCAGTGGTTGAGGAGTGACACTTTATCCATTCACCTTTAATGATATTGTGAGAGTAGATATAGTGCCAAGGAGGATGAGGCTTAAAACAGAAAACTTTTTATTCACCTCCAGAAACTGCTACAGATTAGAGTTCTAGTTCCTATAACCAAAAGACACTTGGGGCTGAAATCTGTCATTGTTATTGTTGGATTGGCTCCTTAGTTGTTTGTATGTCTAAAGAAGGAGATATTTTTTGTGTCACAGAACTGCCAACATGCCTCCTTGTATCGAATTGGCTCTAGGACAGATGAAGCTAGCCCTGCCAAAAGATCTGACATCAGTGACTACAGCGTAATGCACAGGGGTAGAAAAGTGATGTTATCTAGCCAGTCTTCCAAATTTTGGATTTGGAAGTGCTAATGTTCATCCAGTTTTCTAGTTGGGTTTAGAACAAACTAGCCTTGCCTCACATCTAGTGCCCTTGACAAGCTGCCCTTTATTTCTTTAAACTCAACCATGTAGGTATGCCCTATTTATTGCATCAAACTAAAAGAATCTAGAGTGAGATGGTGTAAAGTGACATGGGAGAACTTCACTTTTGTTGTTGTTGTTGTTGTTGATATGCATTTTCTATATCTCTGTAAGCCACCAACAGATGGGGGCAGCCCACTCAGCCTCTATTTGTCCTGACTGTGTGGCCTCTCGTTTGTTTCCTATCTTGAGAGCACTCCAGTTTTCACTCGTATTGTCCCAAA